ATTCAAAGGAAAAAAGAGGCTTATAAAAATTGGAAGCAAGGACAGACGGCCTGGGAAGAGTAAGGGATGTTGTCGATGAAGCTAGGGACTGGGTAAGGAAAGCTAAGGCCCAGTTAGAATTAAACTTGGCTAGGGATGTGAAAGATAACAGGAAGGGATTCTATAGGTACGTAGCGAATAAAAAGCAGACTAGGGACAACGCAGGCCCCCTCTGGAAGCTATCAGGAGGACTGGCTACACAGGATTTGGAGAAGGCTGAGGTTCTGAATGACTTCTTTGCCTCAGTCTTCACTGGCAAAGGCTCTGACCAAACCACCCAAGCCTTGGAAGGCAGATGCAGGGACTGTGAGAACGAAGACCTTGTGCCCACTGTAGGAGAGGAACTGGTTCGAGACCATCTTAAAAATCTGAACATGCACAAGTCCATGGGTCCTGATGAGATCCACCCGTGGATCCTGAAGGAGCTGGCAAATGAAGTTGCTAAGCCACTGGCCATCGTATTTGAAAAATCATGGCAGTCAGGTGAAGTTCCCGATAACTGGAAAAAGGGAAATATAACCCCCATTTTCAAGAAGGGGAAAATGGATGACCCAGGGAATTACAGACCAGTCAGTCTCACCTCTGTGCCTGGCAAAATCTTGGAGCAGATTCTCCTGGAAGGCATGCTAAGGCACATGAAAAACAAGGTGCTTGGTGACAGCCAGCATGGCTTCACTAAGGGGAAATCCTGCCTGAGCAGTTTGGTGGCCTTCTATGATGGGGCTACAGAACTGATGGACGGGGTAGAGCAGTTGACGTCATCTACCTGGGCTTGTGTAAAGCGTTCGACACTGTTCCAAACAACATCCTTGTCTCTAAATTGGAGAGACATCAATTTGATGGATGGACCACTCGGTGGATAAAGAACTGGCTGGATGGCTGCACACAAAGAGTTGTGGTCAATGGCTCAATGTCCAGCTGGAGACCAGTAACGAGTGGTGTCCCTCAGGGATCGGAGTTGGGACCAGTCTTGTTTAACATCTTCATCGCTGACATGGACAGTGGGATTGAGTGCGCCCTCAGCAGGTTTGCCGATGACACCAAGCTGTGTGGTTTGGTTGATACCCTGGAGGGAAGGAATGCCATCCAGAGGGACCTTGACACGCTTGTGAGGTGGGCTGATGCCAACCTTATGAAGTTTAACCATGCCAAGACCCAGGTCCTACACCTGGGTGGGAGCAATCCCAGGCACAGCTACAGGTTGGGCAGAGAAGAGATTGAGAGCAGCCCTGCGGAGAAGGACTTGGGGGTGTTGGTCGATGAGAAAATGAACACTGGCCGGCAGTTTGCGCTTGCAGCCCAGAAAGCCAACCGTATCCTGGGCTGCATCAACAGGAGCGTGACCAGCAGGTCGAAGGAGGTGATCCTGCCCCTCTACTCTGTTCTCGTGAGACCTCACTTGGAGTATTGTGTGCAGTTCTGGTGTCCTCAACATAAAAAGGACATGGAACTGTTGGAACAAGTCCAGAGAAGGGCCTCGAGGATGATCAGGGGACTGGAGCACCTCCCATATGAAAATAGCCTGAGAAAGTTGAGGCTGTTCAGCCTGGAGAAGAGAAGGCTGCGTGGAGACCTCATAGCAGCCTTCCAGTATCTGAAGGGGGCCTATAGGGATGCTGGGGAGGGACTCTTCGTCAGAGACTGTAATGACAGGACAAGGGGTAATGGGTTAAAACTTAAACACGGGAAGTTTAGATTGGATATAAGGAGGAAATTCTCTCCTGTTAGGGTGGTGAGGCACTGGAATGTGTTGCCCAGGGAGGTTGTGAATGTTCCATCCCTGGCAGTGTTTAAGCCCAGGTTGGACAAAGCCTTGGGTGATATGGTTTAGTGTGAGGTGTCCCTGCCCACGGCAGGGGGTTTGGAACTAGATGATCTTAAGGTCGTTTCCAACCCTGACTACTCTATGATTCTATGATTCTATGATCATGTTAACATCAGTGGTAAGCCACTCACTTTGCAGGTAGGGCACAGTTTGCATCATTCAGGTGGTTGGTAGTCCTCTGGTGTCATCCACAATCCCCTTGGTGCCCACAGAGACAGCCAACTTGTGTAATTCACTGGCAAAGCATCACAGAGTAGCTCATGCCATTGGATGTGCCCCAAGATGTCTGACATACAAGCTCACATGAGGTCCAGCAGCTCTAGCAAGGATCTACACAAGGGTCTCCATGGGAAAAAGCCCCAGTGAACTCTGCAGCAATGATGTGTGTGGAAGAAAAAGAGAATACAGCACCAGCTTGAGAATAGCAGTGACAGAAAACCATGCTGAGAAGCACAAGAGCAAATGTGAGATCCCACCTGGTGATCCAAAAGGCCTCCTACAAGGCAGTTCAGATTTCTTTTGAACAGCCTAAGTGAGAACAAAGGACCTACATGCCAACTTCTTTGCATGGTGTGCTGAGGTCAGTGAAGAAAGTCTTTTCTGGCAAGAGCTGAAAACAAAAATGAAGCTGAGTCCTTATGAAGGACTGTTTTTCACCCAGCACAGCCTGTGACTCAGGTGATACTGCTCTTGTTTCCCCAGTGCCAGGCAGAGAAGTTCCTGTTCTGCGGGGATGAAAGATACAGGTCCTCCCTTGCTCTGTGTCAGATCCTTGGTTAGATGGAGGGCTGAGCTTCAAACAGTGAGATGAAAGAGAAATAATATAAGAACTAGATTAATGTAGTCAGAGAAATTAGATTTTAAACATATTCGGGTACTCAGCCAATCCTCAGGATTTTGGTGGAATTTAATACCTCAAATACTTTACAAATCTGGATTGAATGGAAAGACAGTTTCCATTCATCATCTCATTATAGAGGAAATAATCATCAATCAAAACATGCTTACTTTTCCTGCTCACCTTTCTGACAGTCTGCAAACATGCCTTCATAAAGCCCATCTGGAGCACTAGCTGAAGTTGGTAAGTTTACCTTGGGAAGAGCCTGGCAGAGATCACAACGGTCCCGGAGAGGTCACTGAAGGAATTAAGGCAGGCTTTGTCACTCTGATGCCAAAAAAAAAAAAAAAAATTACAGTTTTGCCTTGCAAATTGCCCCTAATCCAAATGCAATCCCTCAGGAAAAGTTTATCTTGGTAGTCTGTATACCACACCTCTGGTGTCTGTAGGCAGCTTGCTTCCCCACCTAACTCATACTCTATCCTCATGCAGTTTTTCATGTTCTTATCATGCAGAAGGCACCAAGTGCAGCGTAGGTCTAACAGGACCCTGCATGTCCCTCCATGTGCCATTAGCCCTCACCTGTACAGAACCATTAACAATCCCTGGGTGCCGTTTCCCTTACTCCATCCCCCACTCCTCTTTGATGGCACTAAACTGTGCCTCAACAGCAGTTGCAGATAGGTTCTCAGAAGTTAAGAGACTTAAACACCTTCTTCCCATTCCTGGTGGCTCCCAGACAGCAGCAGTCAGAGTCAGAGCTGAGTGCCACATTCCTGGGAGGCCACAACATTGCTGCCAGACCAGTGGAATTCCCTTGATTGAATGGAACAACCAATAACACTGCCAAGACCCAGAGCCTACACTTAACTGACTTTGGGCCTCGTCCAGCATTCAATCTTCCTAAGGCTCTGTCCAGGCAATGTGACTTCAGGATCAGGGCCCTGTTTTCTAGAGACCACGGAATCACAGAATGGTTTGGGTCAGAAAGCACCTTAAAGCTCATCCAGTTCCAACCCCCGGCCATAGGCAGGGACACCTTCCACTAGACCAGGTTGCCCCAAGCCCCATCCAACCTGGCCTTGAACATTGCCGGGGATGGGGCAGCCACAGCTTCTCCAGGCAACCTGTGCCAGGGCCTCACCACCCTCACAGAGAAGAACTTCTTCCTAAGAGCTCATCTCAGTCTCCCCTCTGTCAGGTTAAAGCCATTCCCCCTTGTCCTGTCCCTGCAGGCCCTTGTCAAAGCCCCTCTTCAGCTTTCTTGTGGGCCCCTTTAGGCACTGGAAGCTGCTCTAAGGTCTCCCTGGAGTCTTCTCTTCTCCAGGCTGAGCAAGCCCAGCTCTCTCAGCCTGTCTCCATAGCAGAGCTGCTCCAGCTCTTGGAGCATCTTTGTGGCCTCCTCTGGACTCACTCCAAGAGCTCCACGTCCTTCTTATGTTGGAGATTCCAGAGCTGGAGACAGGCCTGGGGGGTGTCTCACAAGAGTGGAGCAGAGGGGGGGAGCATCCCCTCCCTCGACCTGCTGGTCACACTGCTGGTGATGCAGCCCAGGACACGGTTGGTTTCTGGGCTCAAGCGCACACTGCTGGGTCATGGGGAGCTTCTCAGTAACCAACACCTCCAAGTCCTTCTCCTCAGGGCTGCTCTCAGTCCAGTCTCCCCCAGCCTGTGTTTGTGCTTGGGATTGCCCCGATCCAGTCTGAACCTCTCTCCTCAAATTTATGCCTGTTATCTCCCGTCCTTCCACCGCACACTGCTGTGGAGGTTGTGGGGCTGCTGTCAGCCCCCCCCAAAGCCCTTCCTTTCCCCTCTGAAGGAGCCTCTTCCCTCACCTCTCTTTCCCATGGGCACCCTCAAACACTCCTGCTCCCCTGCACCACGCCCCAGCTCCCCCCTGTGCTCCTCAGGAGCCCGCAGGTCTCCAAGCACCTCTCGGGCACTTTTATTCATTTCGCAGGAAAATCCAGCTCGTTCTTCCCTCCCTCACGTCGACGCTTTGCTACCATCTAGCGCTGAAGGGGCGCAGGGCCCGAAGAGCGCCATGGAGCGGGTGAACTCGGTCCGCCGCTACACCGGCAAGCGCTGATCACGTCAATGAGGGACACTCGGCACCACCCACGGTACGGAGGCGCCGACACTGATGGGGTCCCCCACGGGACAGGCTGCGCCCCGCGGGTCCCCTCACAGCGCCCCCAGCGGCTGGCGGAGGCACTCCTTGTCGCCCGCCGTCCTCATGTCGCTTTCCGGCAGAGCGGCTGGAGGTGCGGCTTTTTCGCGACAGAGCTGAGCGGTGTTGCTTGATGGCAGGGGCCCGTGGCCTGGCTTGTGAAGGGAGCAGCTGAGGGGGAGCGGGCAGCATGAGGCAGAAGAGGAAAGGTACCGGGGTGTGCGGGACCGTAGTGTCCGGTTCGTGCTGCTAGGCGGCTCCTGCCGCTCTCCCAGCAGCTGAGGGCGGTGGGGTAGGGTTCTGCCGCCTCCCCCGGCCTCGTCTGTGTGCAAGGAGAGGCTTTGGGCCAGCACTTCACCGTGTGTTTGGCTGTGGCGGGGGGGTTCCCGCGCTGCTTCTGGCTCTGTGGCGATGGAGCTATGGGGTTACCACCTCCATGAACGCTGTGCATGTGTGCGGAGAGAGAGAACGAGGCACGGCTTTGCGCTGCTCCCTCCGTGCTCTTTTGGAGGAGGGTGGAGGGACTTGGCACCCCCCGCTGAGCCGCCCCTATTCTCCCCCCACTGTTGAATCGGGCGCTGTGAATGGGAGGCAGAGTCAGCTGAGAAGGACCTGGGAGTATTTGTAGATGATAAGTTGACTATGAGCTGGCAGTGTGCCCTTGCAGCCAGGAGGGACAATAGTATGCTGGGGTTCATTGGGAGGAGTGTGGCAGCAGGTGGAGGGAGGTGATCCTCCGCCTCTGTTCGACCGTGGTGAGGCCACACTTGGGAGTGCTGTGTCCAGTTCTGGGCTCAGCAGCACAAGAAAGACAAGGGGCTATTGGAGAGGGACCAGCAGAGGCCACAAGGATGATCAGGGGTCTGGAGCATCTCTCTTAGGAGAGATTGTGAGAGCTGGGCTTATTTAGTCTAGGGAAGAGAAGACTGAGATGGGATCAGATTAATGCGTATAAATATCTCAAAGGTGGGTGCCAAGAGAATAGTGCCTAACTGTTTTTGGTGGTGGCCAGTGACAGGATGAGAAGCAATGGCCGTAAACTAAAACACAAGAAGTTTCACCTCAACGTGAGGAAGAACTTCTTCACACTGAGGGTGACAGAGCCCTGAACAGGCTGCCCAAGGGGGTTCTGGTTTCTCCTTCCTCTCTGGAGACATTCAAAACCCACCAGATATGTTGCTGTGTAACCTGCTCTAGGAGGCCCTGCCTTGGAAGGGGGGATTGGGCTACATGATCTCCAGAGGTCCCTTCCAACCCTAATGATCCTGTGGTTCCTTTGCACTCACGTGAGTGCTCAGGAGTTTGCCTGGCTCCTGTCCTAGAAGTAAAAGAGAATCAGTGATATGAGATGGTGACAGTCATTTATTTGGGGAAGGCTGCAGTGATATGCAGTGGCAAAATTCCCTTTGAGAGCAGTAACTGTAGGTAGTATTAAATTGCAGAGCAGGTGTGCATTGGTTGCCACAAGCAGGTAGAATGCTCTGGCTATACACATCATTTGGTTTGTTCTCATTGCAGGAGACCTCAGCCATGCAGAGCTGATGATGATGACAATTGCTGACATCATAAAGCAGTTAATCGAGGCTCATGAGCAGGGAAACGATGTGAATCTGAACAAGTAAGTCCCTGGAATGATGCTGAAGGGCTGGTCCATCAGTGATGAATCTGTCCTGTATCATATGCAGGCTTTATTTTAAAATGTTTTATTTTCACAGGCTACTGTCATTTCTCTTACTGTTACCTGATAATAAAGACACCAAGATTTGTAAATTCTGCAGTGATTTGCTACTTCACAGTCAATGCTCAGAGTACAAAAGAGGTTGTATTGGTGCAAAACTCTTTAGAAACTTGTCATTGCCTTTTTATGTTTCTATCTGCATTCATCCTTCAGGAGTCCCAAAGTCAGAAAGGAGAGAATAATATTGGAATAAAGTTAAAATCAGATTTTCTTGGCAATGTGTTATAAATGGCATTGGTGCTTAGGGAAAGTTCTTCCTTCTTGACGCATGTGGAATAATAAACCTGAATTTGTCCTGCTGTTTCCGTTTAATTTACCTGATATAATTGCAACCTTTTTGCTGATGCTGGAAGTAACTGACATGAACATGTTAGAAATGAACTTGGCTAAACTCTATGCGGAGGGGTTAATCATGTGGAAAACATGAAAAGAGTTAAATCTCTGAAAATGGACAAGCCAGAGTCTGTTGGCAGCTTTGGCAATGCTTTGATAAAACCATATTTAGAAGAAAACTATACAGAAACTAAAAACATTGGCAGTTTTGCATCCACCTTATTTGGAGTTAATTTTTGGTATCTTAATGCAGCTGTTGCAAGAAATAACTGTATGCTTTTTAAATAATTTACCTGGAAGAGCAAACTGGGAGAACCTACATAGATCTCCGTGTAACTGGACAGCAGCACAATGGCATTCTTGTGGAATATGGGTAAATAAGTCAGAATGGAGTTGTTAATTTGAGGTATTTCTGCTTTCAGGCTGAAAACCAAGACGGCGGCGAAGTATGGCCTTTCAGCACAGCCGCGCTTGGTTGACATCATTGCTGCTGTTCCACCACAGTACCGCAAGGTGCTGGTACCAAAGCTGAAGGCCAAGCCTATAAGGACTGCTAGTGGGGTAAGCAAGTGCATTGTTCTCACCATCCCCCCCTGCTGTCATCAATAAATTGTGTTTAATTATTTTTAATAACGTGGATATTGAATGTCCATATGGACGCACTGGCTGCGCTGCTGCCTTGCAGGTCAACTTCTCTGTGATGTTGTGCCTACAGGGCTATTGCTTTCAAAGTACTTGGGAGGAGGTAAAAAGGCAGTGTGGGGATCTATTTTCAGAGCACCATGCCTTACTTTTCAGTTGTGTAGAAAAAGTGCAGCTTAACCTTCAGGCCCTCTCAGTGAACACATATAAAATGTGTTAATGCAAGTCTAGAGGAGGCCATGAAGATGCTCTAAGGGCTGGAATACCTCTCCTATGGAGACAGGCTGAGAGAGCTGGGCTTGTTCAGCCTAGAAAAGGCTTTAAAATCTTCTTTCTATAGAATATTTTGTTAAACTCTGACTTCAACCAGGATTTCTGAAAACACGAAATTAGGTGTTATGCTTTCAGTGCCCCAAATTAAGAGGATCTTTGTGTGTCCCTCTCTTCTTCCCTCTGGTTCTTTTTTAGTGAAGGAAGATGGGATCTGGCATTAGGCTTGCATTTAGTGTATGAAAAGCAGTTGTGAGATCCAACAGGGAAAAAGGGCTTGGCTCAGGTGGAGGGAGGGAGCTCTTTTTATTATCTTTGGTTTTTGGTTTTGTGTTTCTCTTCATCTCTCCCTTGTTTTCATCTTTGAGTGGTGTTTGGTGTGCTTGCCAACACACTCTCACCCTTTTAGGTACATGTTAGATGGGCTCAGTGAATACCTGAATGTCTGTGTGCATCTCTTCACCAAGGTGGTTAATCAGATTTGCTATAAGACACGTGGTTCTTTCCAATAAACTGTCAAGTTTATTCTGAATCATGAAAATATTAAAGAATAAGATTCCTGCTCCTTTATATATTTGTTATCTCATTCAAGAGCTAACACACAGATATTCTAGCTGGCAGACTAAGCAGAAAACATCTTTAAATAGTCTCTCACAGATGCACATGTATACATAGCCTTCCAAGTCAATTCGGCAGCAATTACCATAATTTCTCTCCTCTCTAATTTTGCTTCTTACAGATTGCTGTTGTAGCTGTGATGTGTAAACCACACAGGTGTCCGCACATTAATTTCACAGGCAACATATGTGTGTAAGTATGACAGCTTAGATGAGCTAAGAGAACTGTTTTCATAGAATCACAGAATGCTTTGGGTTGGAAGGGAACTTAAAGCTCATCTAGTTCCAAATCCCTGACACCTCCACTAGACCAGGTTGCTGTAACCCCCGTCCAACCTGGCCTTGAACACTGCCAGGGATGGGGCAGCCACAGCTTCTCTGGGCAACCTGTGCCAGGGCCTCACCACCCTCACAGGGAAGAACTTCTGCCTAAGATCTCATCTCAGTCTCCCCTTGGTCAGTTTAAAGCCATTCCCCCTTGTCCTGTCCCAACAGGTCATTGTCCAAAGCCCCTCTCCAGCTTTCTTGTGGGCCCCTTTAGGCACTGGAAGCTGCTGTAAGATCTTCCCAGAGCCTTCCCTTTTCCAGGCTGCAGAACCACAGCTCTTCTCAGTCTGTCTTCCAACATTTCTGTGTAAATCTATGATTGCAGCAGCATTGTATTGGAGACAGGCTTGCTCCCTGCACAAGTGCAGAGTTGCAGATTGCTGATACCTGCATATTACTCTAAAAAGTCTACTTGTTTTCAGTTTTTCATCGTGGAGGAGACCTTTTTCTTTCATGGGCCATGTTAGTAGAATACAGTTTTGTGAATAGAATAACCAGGAGAATCTATTAACAGTCAAATGTAAGTTGTATGACTGTGTCAGGGTGTGCAGAGGTGCATGACTGGGTATGTAAGCAGATTGGAGAAGACCATTCCAGAAAAGAAACAGGGCTCAATCTGACAAGTTTGAAAAGTGCTGAACTGAGACCCACCTGAGGAGGTGTAGGTGGGTGTCTGCAAAAACTTGCTTGGTGTGACAGCCTGGCTCTGCTTGGCTCTGGAGTGAAATGAGAGCACAGATGGAAGGGAAGGCCTCCAGCTGCCAAGAGCTTGTGGTGTTAAGGGAATAGCGCTGGAGTTTTATTTGAATTGAGAAACCCAAAATGGCTTTACCTTGAAGTATGTTACCTCCATTTGACTTAAGAGTCTGTACACCTGTCATCACATCTGGGTTTTTTTCTAACCATAACGGTTCATCTATTTCAAAACATTGCCTCTGTTTCCTGCCTTGTCTCTCCCAAAACATCTCTATCTCTCTACCGGCTGCCTGATGCAGAGTGAGCTGGCTCTGATCTTGCTCTTGCATGAGCCACTATTCTGTCCGATATGTTCCAGGTAATTACGTGTATGAAATGCCTTCAATTGGATTGCACAACTTTTGCCAGCAAATTAATTCAGCCCTGGTAATTTGGTAATTAATTTTGTAATGGTGACAGATGACTTGGGTTAAGTTTGCAGGGCAGGCACTGGGAAAACTCATCCATTATACTGTGAGGCGAATGTGTCTGATTTGACTGAGATGGCATTATCTTGGTGTCTGTGCACTGAGATCTGCACCATGAGTAGCAATACGCTGACTGCTGTTCTGTTTTCTGTTGGGGGTGCTCAGAGCCTGCAATTAAAATAGAAAGGACTGTCAACAATCATGCCTAGGGCTGCCTTGGAGCCCGGAATGGCTGTAGATTGGTCATTAATAACCATAGTCCTCAAAAGAGAGTTAAGGACCCTTCAGAATAAGTTTATATTCCTTTAATTATTCCCTGCCGTGTACCATTCCTCTCCTGGCCAGCAGTCATACTGTGGTAGCTGCAAGTCTGTCTTGCTGTGTCACAGAATAGAGAGTTTCAAACAAGCCTCTACATGCAGAAGCTAATTTACTCTATGGCAGCTCCTTCCTTAAACAATGCCATGTTCCAGAAATAGATTCACAGTACACTTTGCTTCTTGTAAGTCTTACGAAGTTGTTTTTTGTGGATGTAGTTATTTGCCATGTCTGAACTGTTTTTTGACATCGCATTCTCATGAAACAAAACAACTGTTCTGTACTGTATACTTAACATTTGTAAACAGACATAGTCTCAGTTCCTCTCAACTCACAGAATTACCCCCTTCAGCATCTGTGTTTGAATCTGTACCTGTATTTACATAAGGTGATGCAGAAACACACAAATTTATTGGTTCATCCCATGCTCTGAACCATGATCTGTGGTTCTATGATTTGTATTTCTGTGTGTTTCTGGTGAGAGCTGGGGCAGTTAGAGCAGTGTCTGCTCAGCCTGCACCATCTTGTGTGCCTGTACCTCAGACAGATTAAGTCATTGCACCTGTACGAGTTTGATGCCTGTTTTCTGTCTTTTTATATTTGCAGATACTGCCCGGGTGGACCTGATTCTGACTTTGAATATTCAACACAGTCTTACACTGGATATGAGGTATTAATTTGGTTTGCTGTAGCGCCTTGCCTATGCTCACTATAAACTTGGGTTCAGCTGCTCTTTATTTCTGCAGATTAAGTCATGCTGCAAGAATAAAAACCAAAAGTAGGCTTCATGAAGTTTGAGATCTAAAGCAGCTCAACCACAGGACTGGAAATTCCTCTTGATTATTGTAGCAGTTGTTTCCTTCTCCTCACCTTGCTTCTGTTCATAATGTTACACATGCAGGAATGAGCAGCCTGTGATTCCAAGCAGGGCAAGTGCAGCATTGTGGCTGTACTCCGTGACCTGCTGATGTGGGAACTGCTGTTAATGTGAATCTCCAGCTGTGGAAAGAGATCAGTGAGTGAGAGCAGTTGGAGGTGACATTGTGGTCTCTCATGGGACACTGCTGTGTGCAATTTGTTGAAATGAATGCTGGCTGTGATTCCTGTGTGTCAAAATTTTCCTGACTGAACAGTCCAGCAGGACTGTACAGATTTACTTATGGCTCCCTATGGGGTTAAGGGAAAGGTACAGAGAAGACAGAGCCAGACTTCTCCTCAGAGCTGCCCAGTGGAAAGAGGAGGGGCAACAAACATTAGTTAGAATGTGGAAAATTATGCCATAATATAAGGATGTTTTAACATGACAATTATCAGTCACTTGAGTAGGGATTTATCTAGAGGTTTTGGAAACTGTTCTTAAAGATAATCAAGCACTGACTGGACAGAGACCTGAGCATCCTGTCTTAAGTGGACCTGCTTTCAGTCATGTCCAACCTACAGGACACTGCAGGTTAACAAAGGTTAAGCTCTCAAGAAAAAGCCTGTTATTTAGCTGTTACTGCCTCTGAAATTACATTAATGCTCCATATCTGCAGTGATACCTCACTAAATATATGTATTTCCGAAATAGCGTGCTCTTGTTGTCTGGAGAAAGTTTAGCAGCAGCAGATCTTGTGACTAAATTACTGTGACTGGTTTTAACAAAATAGCTCATAGCTATAGTACAGACGTAAAGTAGCAAAATGAGGTAAAATGCAAACTGGATTTGGTAAACAGCAATTCAGCATACTTACAGATTTTTTCTGCTGTTATCCACTTCTCAGTGACTTGAAACTTGTTCTGTTAGTGCAAAGTAGGAAAATCTGCGTATATGTAAATGCTTTGTAATTCCTGTTGGTTTGGATATGTTGTATTCATTCGTTTAGTACTAACAGCATGTGGGAGTTATGCATGATTAAGAGTCCTCATCATTTAGAACTTTTAATGTAATATGAATGAAATGCTCAACAAATCCAGGATACACAAGGTACTTGAAAACCTTATCTGAGAGTATTATTAGTACGCAAACAGTAGTAGTAATACAGAAAGTAAGTTGTTAGAGATTTGAGTTGAAAGAGTATGTTTAGCTTAAAGAATATTTGAAATATAGACTGTGCTGAAGGGGAGACTGTTTGGATAACTTGTGCAAGTAAAGAGAAACTAAAATGAACGGGATGGAAGAAGTGGTATTTTGAAAAACATTTTGTTTGTGATGTTTGCAATATCTTCAGTGAATCACTACAGAGATTCTTTATCCGGTTGATAAAGATGCACTAAAAGTTTGAAAAGCTGTGTTGTTTTTATGTCATGTTACCATCTCAGCAAAACAGTGTGTTTAATTATCATTTTAAAACATGGAAAGAGCCAAATTTGTATTCACAATTGGATGGACTCTTTGGCTGTGAGTTTGAAGAGTTTAGGGTCAGTTAGGATTTGAAGACTTCAGCATCCGTTTCAGTGCTGAAAGTTTTCTTTTGTTCTTTTTCACCATTCTTCTACAAACTGAATACAAAACTATTCTACAAACTGAATCTCCTTCTGTTTTTTAGCCAACGTCCATGAGGGCGATTCGAGCCAGATATGACCCCTATCTCCAGACAAGACACAGAGTGGAACAGGTGAAATTTTACCATTGAAAGGGGAACACATTGTGGTTGCGAAGAAAGTAATGAGAACACTTTTAATCACCTAAATTGTTTGGCAGGAAGCTGGATATAACCCAGCTGTCAATATTGTGACCACTAGTGCTTAATGTGGTAATGTCTGTGTTAATGACAGGGATGCTGGGACAGAGCATGCTGTCAGCAAGTTTGCTGATGATGCAGGACTGGGAGAAGTGGGTGGTAGACCAGAGGATTGTGCTGCCATTCAGGGAGACCTGGACAGGCTGGAGAAATGAGTTGGCAGGAACCTCTTGAAGTTAAACAAAGGGAAATGCCAAACTCCGGGCACAGGTATGTGCTGGGGACTGACCAGCTGGAAAGCAGCTTGATGGAAGAGGACCTGAGGATACTGGCAGGCATCAAGTTGACTGTGAGCAGCATTGTGTCCTTGAAGCAAAGACAGCCAGTGGCCTTAGGAGGAGTGTTGCCAACACATCAAGGGAGGAGATCCTTCCTTTTGCCTCAGCACTGCCGAGGCTCCACCTGGAGAGTTGTGTCGAGTTCTGGACTCCCCAGAAGACCGCGGACTTGAACATACTGGGGGAGGTCTAGCAAAAGGCCACTAAGGTGATGGAAGGACTGGAGCATCTGAAGAGATGCCAAGAGCTCCAAGACTGCTCAGGCTAGGGAAGAGAAAGCTTAGGGGAGTCTTACCAATGTGTATAAATACCTGGCGGTAGGCTGTAAAAAGGACGAAGCCAGGCCCTTCTCAGTGGTGCTAGTGACAGGACATGATGCAGTGGCCACAAATTGAAACTCCATTTGAACATCTGGAAACAGTTTTTAACTGTGAGGGTGACCAAGCACTGGACCAGGTTGCCATAGAGGTTGTGCAGTCTCCAGTCTTTGAGACACTTGAAGCCTGTTTGGGTGCAGTGCTGAACAAACTGCTGTAGCTGATGCTGCTTTGAGAAGAGAGATAAGACTGGGTGATCTCCAGAGGTCCTTTCCAGCCTCACCTTTTTCATCATTCTGTAATTCTACATTAGCCTGGTTTGATCCCCACAGAAGTATTATTTTTACACCTTTAGTCTGTCATTAGATAAATTAGAAGTTTTGAACCTCTTGTAAGATCTTACCTGTTGTGAACAATACCTTATTTCTAATAGGAGATTGTATTACAATAAATTGTACTGAACTTCTGTGGCAATTGCTAGTTCTTGATAATTACTTACAATTGGAGAATTTAATACTCAAATAGTGGCTTTTATACCAAGATGGTTTATTGAGGTCTTTTCTGGAGAGTTAGAAGATCTGAAGAATTTCTTAATCCTGCTCTGCTTTGACCGGTTTCCAGTTTATCTCTAAATCCATTGAAAAATCCTTCATGGATTCAGTGTAGTCCTCCATTCTCTCAAGTTTGTAAGGAAGTTAGTTCTACATGGATTGAAGAAGAAACTTCTATCAGTCAAATCTAAGCTAGCTTCAAACTGGAACCAGTGTAACTCTGTCAGCAAGAGGCTAGGTTCAAATGATTCTGCTTTGTCAAGAAAAGCTGTTATGCTAGGCTCAGTATATGTACTGTGTTCTTGCAGTAGAAAGGTAACTTTGAGGTTTATATTTTTGGGAGGGTTTATAAGAAGTCTTTACAAAATTATTAATGGTTTGTCATTGCTAAAAGATACCACAACTAAAGGAGGAAACATGGTGTAAGAATGTCACTGTTTTCAGAGAAGTCTTCTAAAAAAGTCCCTGGATAATTTTTCCATGGTATTTTCCATTTTACAGCTGAAGCAGTTGGGCCACAGCGTGGATAAAGTGGAGTTTATTGTGATGGGTGGCACATTCATGGCCCTGCCTGAAGACTACCGTGATTACTTCATCAGAAACCTTCATGATGCCTTATCAGGTCACACTTCCAATAACGTTGCAGAAGCCGTCAGGTAAGCATCTTGGGTTTCCTTCATGTAATGGTTTAAAAGTGTTCTTTAACTGGTGTAAGAACAAAAAATACAGCAAAACTTTTGTTTGAATGTTTATCCAAATACATATTTAGGCATAGAATATTTATAGCTCAACTTGGAGCCCTGCTCTGTGTACTGCATAGCACAAGGAGAAGGTTGTGCCATGGTTTATCTATTTTCTCATGTAGGAAGTGCTAAGCCGCTTGTGGTTTCTTGGCATTCCATGTAGACTTCTACCTTTTATGCCTCATCACCTTGGTTTGGAGTTGTGACGAATCACATTGCCATGGGATTTATTGCCTTTAGCTGGCAGGGGGAACTGATCCTGCCTTGGAGGGAGGCCCGACGTCAACTCCCGCAAGGAATGACTCACCCCTGAGAGCGTCAGTGCTCAGGAGCTCCAGGCCCCTTGCGGCATCAAACGCAGTTACCCTTGCAGTATTTCAGTGTGACAGGGAAATGCTCTTCTCATTTTAAAGCAGAGGAACTGAAAATCAGAGGCTGATTTATGTATGTGTGCTTTGGGTCATTAAATACCCAACTTTTCAGTGCGTTTTGCGGTATAACACTGAGAAGAAAAAGGAGAGATTTGACGTTTTGGAGCTGTTAAAACTAGGTGAGGGTCCTTACTGGCAGTTTTAGTTTGCTTGTCATTGTTCAGTCAGGTGGATTTTCCTTGATACCATTATCATCTGCTAAAGAAAATGGTCTTAAAAGTAAGTTGGACTAGCCTGTGCCTAGTAGCTTCATGTCTGTTTTCGTATTTGAAAGCTGTAATTTCATTTGATTTTCCTCTGGAGGGCAGCAAACACTTCTGCTGGTTTTCTTTGGATTTTGTTTTGTTTTTTTTTTTCTTGTCATTCAAAGACTAGGCAAAAAGTGCTGTGCTGTTCCCGAGTTGATTTTATCCAGATAAAATAGTGAGCGAGTTGGGAAGAGAATTGCTTTTCTGCTGCTCTAGTGCCCTGGCTGTGAGCACTGAAGGACACAGCTCATCATGGAAGAGGGGTGGTGTTTGCAGGTTGCATAGTCAAATTAGTGCTATACTTGTACATACCTCAGGTAGCTCAGGATGTGTTTATTCCGTATCTTGTCTGCTGCAGGTGTTTTATTGGACCTAAAATTATTTTTCAAGTAGCCTGGCCATTACTGATTGAGGAAGCTATTTATGACACAGACCATTCAACCAAGTGATTTTAAGTGCATGCCAGAAGGAAGTGATGCTGAAGTCAGTGCACTGCCTTGCGAGTGCACAGATCAAGGAATGTGAAAAAAACCTGCACTAACAGTGTGTGGGTTTTTCCAGCAGATAAATAAAGGTTTATATTTTTAACGTAAATTTCATGTTAAACGCTTAGTAAATGGGAGTATGTGGGAGTTATTCAAGTTGCACTTCCTAAATATTCTAGAGGCGCTGAAATTGGGTTCAAGATGAATCAGACCTTTTACTTCTTGTGCTGCTTGCATTTGGCTGTTGCACTGTGTCACTGCAGTACTGTTTTGAGATGGTCAATGCTACTTGAAATAAACATTCAAGATTAAGTTTATTTCTCTTTGTATACGACAGTTCAGCCCGTCTCCTTCACTTCTTCCATCAATAGAGGCCATGCTGCATGGGGAATGATGACAGTATTTTACTGGTTTTATATTGTGGGCATGGCATTCAGCAGTAACCTGGGAAATGGTCTCTATGATCCCTTACTTTGAGTGAGTTTACGGTGGTCTTGAAATTTTTCTTCCTTTTGCAGATCATTACTTATTTTTGGATTTTGTACGAATCCCTAATGGAAAAAAAGACCTTCAGCCAGGTTGCTTTTTTTGAAAGTCCTGAATATGACCTTTGATTAGGCTAGTGGAGCATCCATCTACATAGACAACAGTCCACCTAACCATAAACACAGTTTTTTCCCCTTTTGTCCAGTCATTTCTTTACTTTGTCCTAAACCTGAGGTCTGCTTCTGTGTCCACACGCTGTCTTTCCAGTGACAGCGACATGCTGACCTGTACAGCATGACTTTTGCAGCACTGAAGGGCTCATTAATCTGGCGTCCTCCTCCTGATGTAATTTCTAATCGTCTTCATATAATACTTTGTCTTTATCAGTGCACTGCAGCTTCTGGTCCTAGTTAATGTGATAAAAAGGATGTGACTCTGTGCAGTTTCAAGCAGTACAGTACGACCGCTGCCTGCCAGGGAGGTATATGCTATTTCTCACCAGGAACTGGCACTGCAAGGCTGACAAAGACATAAATCCTCAAACTCTGTTGGCTGTTGGACTCCAGTGGATATTCTGAGTGGGCTTTTTGCTTTCTTGCAGATACAGTGGCTTATGTTAAATCCAGCATCATGGTAAATCACACAACTGCAAACACAGCTGTGCCTGCATGAGAGAAATGATGTGGGACTGGGAGTGATCTGTCTCAGGGAAGTGGGACACTGCTCTAGCCAGCTGCTGCTGAGTAAATGAGACTGAAACTGTGTCAGTGGAGAGGGCAGGATTCTCATGGGATGGCCCAGAGCATTTGAGCTACATTGTTGTGAACTGGGCAACTGACTTGGCGTGAAGAGCTCCCTTTATACCTCTATTTATAAAACAGGAGGAGATCCTTTTTGCATGAGTTAAGATTACTGTTTTTATGGATGCATGGACAGGACGTGAGTGTAGAAGTGACTGTATTTCCATACATGAACTCACAGAATGATGAAAGTTGGAAGTGACCATCCGAGGTGATATACTCTGGCCTTCCTGCTCAAGCAGGGTCATCTGGAGCACATTGCCGCAGAAAGTCCAAAGCAACACCAACCAAATGTGCAATTGCTTAAAAAAAGATAGAGAAACAGCTTGGCTTTCTTAGCAACTCCATTGCAAGAGAAGGAAAGAAATGACTTCTCCGAGAAAGTCTTGCTGGTGTTTAATACTTCTGTGGCAGCTCCTTATTGTGGTAGTAAACACTTTTCAGACTATTCAGACAGAAGTCTTTGAGGTGCTTTGTTATGCTTGAGAAATAAGTTGGCCAAGGAATGAGTAAAGAATTGCAGAGCCAGAGGGAACCTTTGTTTGTAGAGTGTACAATAAGACTGAGAAGTTTTAATTTTTATCTGCAGAGAGCACCACTTAAGAGATTTCAGTGCACTTCTGGATGTCTGTCAAGCAAGGTTTTGGACTTTGTGAGGAAGAGATCTGTAATTAGTGTAAAAGAATCACAGTAAGACAGATCACAAAGCAGATTTTTCTTCTTGTACTCTATAGAAATACATCTCTCTCTGGGAGTTGTTCCCATCAAGCCAAAGTGTTGACTAGATTGCGGCTGCCTTTGCTCTTTTGTGAGGACAATGAACCAAGAAGGTGTAAAATGCACATGCAAATGAGGATTGCTGCTCCCCAGCATTTTGCTCCTCTCACCTGACCCATGAGTCATTAGAGGTGCTGGGCATATTTAACTGCATCCATGACTCACCACTTAACTCCCAGGGCTGAGCAACTCTTCTCTGAGCCAGGATCCAACTTTTAATTAGTGACTGAGGCCAAAGGAGAACTTGCCTATGTTTAGAATACATAAAGGGACCCACAGGAAAGCTGGAGAGGAACTTTTTAGAAGGGCATGTGGGATAGGACAAGGGGGTATGGCTTTAAACTGAAAGAGAGGAGATTTAGATTAGAAATTAGGAAGAAGTTGTTCCCTATGAGGGTGATGAGGCCCTGCACAGGTTGCCCAGAGAAGCTGTGGTGGTCCCATCCCTGGCAGTGTTCAAGGCCAGGCTGGACGGGGCTTGGAGAAGCCTGGTCTAGTGGAAGGTGTCCCTGCCTCTGGCAGGGGATTGGAACTGGATGAGCTTTAAGGTGCCTTCCAACCCAAACCATGCTATGATTCTAAGAGAAAAGCAGGTGTCAGAAAAGTCCCCCTGTGCTGTACACCATAGCAGCACCTTGGATTGCAGCATCAAGCCTGCTTCTCTTAGGGTATTTAAAAATGCACAGAAATTTGGGTTTTTCTAGTTTATTTTAACAGCATCATGTGTTGGCTGATGTTCGATCTGGTTGTAAATCACATTGTTAATGGCAAAGTAAGAAGGGGATAGGATTGCTGGAACAATATGTTCTGCAATTCTGGTGTACCTGATATTTATGTGACAATATTCAGGTGTGTGGCTAACATCATAACTGATTTCATAATAGGTCTGTAATCCAAGACTGTTTTAGCTTTACACCATTCATCAGTCAGTAGTCTCTTAAAAGGCTCATTCTCCACCTGCATCACACGTTGAAGCCCAGCACTTGCAGAAGTGAGTACCATTGACTGTGTTTGATTCCTTGTGGAGAAATTGCAGCTCCTAATACCAGACTCTGTCATGAAATTGCCTTTTTCTTAGGCTTGTCATGGATCATTTTTGTCAAGTGTCCTTTTGTGTTCCCACCATTAGCTGTGTCTTCTGCTGAGTATTCCTACTGCCACAAATATTTTCATTATGCATGAGGAAATCCCCCTTGGGTATCCCAAAAGCCATATTGATCTTTTGGCAAGCAGTAAGGAGTTAGAGCCAGCTACTTCAGAGCCTTTGCTGAAATAGAAGACATGGGTTTTAAATAACCATTGCTTAGGTTATTGTGTGTACAGTTTAAGAACTCTTAGCCCATCCAAGGAAGGACAAAAAACCCCAAGTACTGGTACTTTGACCAGCAGTTGGTTTGATATGTGAAGCTCCTGATGCTTTTTGAAACCCAGTGGAAATCACTCTTCTCAAAGACACCAGATCAGAGCAACCTGTTAAAAATGTGTTTGGTGAGATTAACAGATGATAACATAAGAAGAATGTGCAGCTATTGGAGCAAGTCCAGAGAAGGCCATGAAGATGCTGCAAGGGCTAGAGCACCTCTGCTATGGAGACAGGCTGAGAGAGCTGGGCTTGTTCAGCCTGGAGAAGAGAAGCCTTCAAGGAGACCTTAGAGCAGCTTTCAGTGCCTAAAGCGGTGACACGGA